TGGTAGTTAGTGGTGCTTAAAGTTTAACTTTGCCCAATAATGATAATGATTAAAATCGGGATGAAACTCTGAATCCGAATGAGATTCAAGCAATTTACCAACCTTCAATAAAGCAGTCCATCTTATTTTCGAGCACTATGGTGTTGTTATTATCGTCCTTAACCTTAGTAGATAAACTGCTCACTCTTGCAATTTCCCATATTCCCTGTTTTCCCAAAGGCATTGTTTACTTCATTAGAAGTAAACGCATTTAAGTGCATGCCTAAACCTCTCATATTTATCTTTGTGTTCAGATTTAAACTCCACGTAAAAGTCTTTACACAGAATAAAACAATCAATACACAAAATATTCTACAAAGCAGACAATCTTAATAATGAATATGCAGCCTAGAATTCACAGAAGTATATTTTTGAAAAGGATATCCCAGAGAACTAATGCATCTACTATTGCGACATCTCGATGTTCATTTGATTTTAGGCCATCAGTGGAAAATAGTTCAGTGACTTTTGTACGGTCGTCAATTATATCTTTCAAGAGATTCTAAAATTCTACTTTTTCTTCAATTAATAGAGATAATTAACTTTCTATAGTTTGGTTTGTAAGGATTAGTTATGTTTTACGAGTTGATCACGGACTGATATCAGTTAGAGAACCATTGAAAACCAGGGAGTACTGGACAGCTGCTGTTTCATCAGCCTAGTTTGGGAATCATCGGCAGTACGCACCCACCGGGATTCGAACCCAGGACCTTCCGGTTACAAGGCCATCTCGTATACCATTCAGCCACTGGGACCCGATTCAATGGCTCATGAATTCTAACTCCTACTAATTCGTGATTTTAGCGCGACCCCAACTATTGTCGTTGGTGGGACATCCATCCACACACGTGACTTCTAAATGGACCTCACTGGTCACGACTTCTCACTAGAACTCCAGGAAGCTCCAACCTGTAGCAAGTCACTAGCGAGCATCAGAATAATTTTCTGTAGTTTGGTTTGTAAGGATTAGTTATATTTTAGGATGAAGCAGCAGCTGTCCAGTACTCCCTGGTTTTCAATGGTTCTCTAACTGATATCAGTCCGTGATCAACTCGTAAAAAAGATAATTAAGTTATCTATTGAAGCTTCCCTGTGTTTAATCAAGATAATGCATTTGTGTGCGAAATCTTAAGCAGCCTGTCTGAACAACTGAGCTACCTACATTTTCATCTAGCATAATACGTCCACTTTTCTCTCTTTCTTGCTGCTCCAATCTCCCAGTTATGTGTTTGGATCGCAAAGTGAACTTATTCAAAAATTTTACTGACTTCCGTGCTGCCTCTGTGCATTTCAGGAAGAAAATAAAGGCGAAATGTAGGAGATTTAGTCTTGTCAGATGAAATGACACTGTGTCATACGATATTTTTTTATTTTTACTTTATTCCTTTGCGTTCCGAGTAAAAAAATGGCTTCAAATTTGAGCCTTGGAGTATCCGTATCAGTGCCATTCTTTTGAGGGGAGGGGTTGCTAGCCTCACGCTTAGCCTTCCTTCTTTACTAGGCTTATTACTAGCTAAGCAAGGTTTAGGAGTGATTCAGCCAGGGAGTGAACCCAGGGTCACCTGCGGGAATGGCTACTACATAATACTATTACTGCCTCGGGTTCCGAGTGGAACAAAGGGCTTCAACAACGCATCACCACTTTGTTCTATTTCCTGCTGTCCTCTCCAGTGGCTAGCTCCACGATTGCCCATAATCCCTCATCTCCTCCAACTCGAACGATCCTGAGAAGGATGTTGAAGGTAGTCAGTAGGACTAGTGGTGTAAAACTCAGTCAGCTCGTCACTATATTAGTTGAAAGGCATCTGAATACTTGCGAAAAATGGTCTAAAACCATACTCTCCTACCCACAACACCCTCTCTATTCCCAACTCTCGCTTTGTATCTCATCAAGTAGAACCATAAATCAGTATAAAATAATATATGCTCGTACAAAGAAGTACAGGAACTCAATCATACCATACTTGGTCCGTGTTCTAAGTGACAGAGACAATGTTAAGCGTGAAACCTATGACTTGATTTGTTGTTAATGATCATAATTTTAGGCTCTTTTACTTCTCTCTTATTTTGCATTCTATAGTGAACTCCTTCTTAAACATACTTAGCTACCTAAATTATTAATATTAGCTTACTTTTTTGTACTTTACTGTATTCCTTCTTTTGTGTATCTACTGGTTCCGACTATATTAGTACTATGAGTATCACAAAATTGTCCTGTCATTAAACATCATGTAATAATTAGTTTTTGTGTTTCTCGTTGTTTTTTTTTTGTTTGGCAATATTAACTGACAATCTTGTTTGTGAACACCATTATCACCATCTTAAAATTTTGTATTATGCAGCATTACTCACACTACCACCACAAACACTGCATTACACCTGACAAGAAAAAAACACATCCCTGAAATGTTATTTTATGATTGTTTAGTGTTGTTTCAACCTAAATTAACTGATCATCTTGGCGATAAACATTCTTAAATATCATTTCATAACTTCTTGTATGACTATAGCTGTACTGTCACCATGCATAATCATATCATGGCTTCCACTACCCAATACTGAGATATTAGTATATGCTGTTTATTTTTCCTTTCTACTTCTTGGTATTTTTTTCGCATTTTTTTTTATTATTTTTGTGTTTTTTTTCTGTTGTTGTCTTTATATATTTCTTTGAAATACTCCTTTTAAACGTTGGGTAAAATTAGATGCAAATATTGTAGATATGTGCTGAAAATTCCACACTGTACCACTAGTACTGTTTCTGGAATAAAGCAAATTATTATTATTATTATGTCCCCCTCGAACTCACGCCCAACTCGTCGTTTTTTATTGGGTTGGCTAGTCATAAGATACAGTTGTAACAGAATAATTGCTTGGAAAATCTCTCCAGAATGGTCTATTTACAATATTGATACTTATATGGACATTTCAACTAACTCTGCAATTACTATCCTCTTATTCTTTAGGCTGGATATCACTGTTTTAATGTTTGCACATCGCCTGGTGAATTAATCTCCATTATTTGTCTTTGTTCTTGTTTTAATGCTTCTCTCTGCGGTTGTGTGATGGTGCTGATGATGTGTTGCTTTAAGATTGTGATTTTTTCTGAAAGAATTCAAAGTTATACCATGGAGATTTTGATCTTGGACTGTCAATGGTGTTTGATGTGTTTGATTTTTATGGGGAGGGTTTTGATCCTAGATTGTTGGGAATATTCTACTTCAATCACAGGTACTTCGTATGGTTAATTTTTAGTTAACTAATTTTAACTGAACAAAAATGCCCATTAAAATTTTCAAAACAATGGATACTGAACAAAGAGTACTCTTTTCGACAAATTCATCATCAGGCTCTACAGTTATATATACATTATAATGAATGAATGAATGAATAAATTAGTGTTATGAACGACATTCATGTTTAACTAACATCAAATCAATAATATTGATAAATTACAGCTGAACAGCATCAACATAAAATAAACTGAATGTCAGAAGAATTAGGAAAGATAATAGTACAAATTCATGAGTTTATAGTTTCCACTAAGGGCCAGGGCAGTAGTAGGGACTGAACTTGTTTCTTCTGAACACAGAGCACTGGTTGTTTGAGGCGAATTGCAATAGCCTCTGCTGTTTGGAGCATGCGGTGCTTCGACGATTTTGGTAATTTGTTAGGCACACGGTATACTATAGAGAAGGATTCTTCTACGCTGGATGACTTTGTGACTGGTTTGCACCAGACGGTCTGATATCGAGCTGTTTTACAGTGCTTGTTTTGTAACTGAGAGATGACTAGATCTGCATAACTGCCTAAAGACTTTGTTTGAGTAATATCGAGTTTTGATATGTTATTACTGTAAAGTAATATTGTGGTGAGAGCTGGCTGGATTAATCTTCACAGTTTTGGTTGAACTGCAGAGTTTTTTTTCCCTACACGTTCCCCAGTGGAACATAGGGCTTCAAGCTAGTGGCTTGAAGTTTCTGTAGCAGTGTTTATTTCACAGGATGTGGTTGCTAGCCTCATGCCCAACCTTTCCTCTTCACCAGCATTATTTCTGGCTTAGCGAGGTAAAGGAGTACATCGGCCGGGGATCGAACCCCGGACCATGTGCATGGTTGGCGAGCGTCCTAACCGCTATACCACCGACGCACTAGGAAAGGCAGGATACACCTTCATCAACCTGAAACCTGCTTGGAAATCTTCTACACTCAGCATAAACAACCAGATTAGAATTTTCAACACAAATGTTATGTCAGTCAGTTCTTCCATATGGGTCAGTAACTTGGCGCATCAAGAAAAGCGTTTCTAACAGGTCGCAGACTTTTATCAACAGCTGCGTCTTTCTCTGGCACACACTGAGGACCAAATGGCCGGCCAGAAAGAATAAGCAACAAGAAATTATGGGATAAAACTAACCAGGAACCTATCGTTCAACAAATATATAGGAGAAAATGTGATGTATTTGGCACACACAGAGAAGACCGTCGAACGACATCGCGCGCCAGGTCATCTGGCGAGCAGAACCCGATTGGGAAACGATGAGTGGGTCGTCAGTGTGAGGGTAACATGGAGAAGACTTTAGGAGGAGGAGGAGATGAGAGATAATGGGCAATTGTGGACCCAGATGAAGAGGACGGCAGAAAACGGGACAAAGTGGAGATGTGTTGTTGAAGCCCTATGTTCCACTCGGAACCCAAGGGAACAATAATGCAATAATAACTATGTCTTTATGCAGCCTATCGTTACCTAAAGTAAACTTTTATCCCAGATTAACAGTCTAAAACTGGTAAAAAGAGAAAGTCAGCTTTCTTCAAGTAATATTCTATTGTGTATTTCTAAAAACATATCAAAGTTTGTACACTCATACAATGAACAAGATCGTTTTCTTTCGATAGAAACAGGTGCATAACTTATAAAAAATTTGATTTATCTCCGCTAGTCAGTGCAACACTCTGCCTGCATTAGTTAGAGTGTGCACTTTCCGAATGTGTTATATCATCTTTGGTTTCTGGCGATGGATATGGTGTGCTTGTCTGTTCACCTCTAAAATCTGGTGCAGAAAGCACCTTCTTTCGTGATGACTTCTCTTCAATATTTCCTAAGTTAGACGACTGTAAGCTGGGTAAATCCTTAGAGGGGATTAAGCTCCGGTTATTATCATCAGATAGGTTATTTGACTCTCCATACACTTGCCATTGAAGTACTTCACAACTTTTATTCCTTTCCTTCTCTTCTTTATCGTTTTCCACCTCTTCGTCAACTTCTCTCCAGCTGGATTCATTATTACTTCTGATAGAATCAAGTATTCGCTTTGTTAACCTTTTTGAATCAATCAACTGGGTTGATTCTCTTGAGATGGATAACTTTGAGTCTTCTGTATTTTGACAGTTTGACGTATCTGAACTATTCCTTTGGGTTTTGTTTATACTTTTTGTTTTCATTTTGTATTATTATTATTAATTTTTTCAAATAATATAGAAAGTACACGTTCTTTCTGTTCCCAGGTAAGATCACGAATCGTTAAACGGGATGATCTTGGACTGTAAGATAGAAAGAAGAGTTAAAGAGTTAAAATTTTTATTTCGTAAGTGTCAGGATTGTAGGGATTTGATTAATATCAAGGTGGATTTAATCAGCAATCTATATTATTGACAGAGCCAGTGAAAACCACGGGGGGGCAGTGGACAGCTGTTTCGTCCTAATTTGAGACACTTTATCTGTACACAAAATCTTCCACCAGGGATCAGGTCAAGGACATACAGGTTACCAGACGAGGCCTCTGACCACTCAGATGATAACACTGGTTAACAGTGGTGCTACATGGAGAATGGATAGTAGTTAATGTTCATGAGTTATTAGATTCCAACCCGCTGGCTGAATGATTCATGGGCTCATGTCATAACCTCAAATTCTTCGGTTCAGTCTCTGGTAGGGCCATGGATGTGCACCCCTCAAAACTGGCAGATGAGATCAAAACAGCCGTCAGTGCTCCCCGGCTTTCAAATCCTAACAAACTGATGCAGATTCCTGATAAAAACCTCACTTAAAAATATGATTGGTTAGCTAACCTGGATAGTCTTAGTTGACAGATTAGTTCTGACTTGTCACAGTGATTACTGAAAATGGATAGACGTCAGCAGAAAGTTCAATTAGGAATTCATCAACAGCTGCACAACATATCCAGAAAGAACAGCATTTATGCTGACGCCACTCTTGCAAGTGGTTTAAAAGGAATCAAATGCTACCTTATCACACCATCCAAAGGGGGGAGAACTTAGTCTTTGCGAAACCTGGGGCAGAATCATGTTCCTGCCCGCACCAATCAAATTATTGAGTCGCTTCATCCTGGAGAGACTAAAAGATTCTCTGAATGTAAAACTGGAAAATTATGTGCTGATCGAATTGAAGCGCTATCCATCATCATCGAACAGTGCATAGAATAGCAGTCAACTTTCAACCTCTTCGTCACCAATTCTGAAAAGCCCTTCGACGGCGTTGATAGTGAAGTTATTCGGGAATGGCCTCAGCGCTACGGAGTGCCCAAATCTTCATCATCACCTCATTCAACGGCTATATAATAATAGCAGAAGCAGCAAAGACAGGACTTCAAGTTATCATAGAAAGAAGACAGAGGTGATAAGGAAACCAAAATAACAACAGTAATTAACACCAGTCTCCATCAGTGGAAGAAATCTAAAGGAAGTTAGTTCTTCCACTTATCCAGGGAGTATAATATAAACTACAGGCGTTGCAGATGAGGATATCAAGGCTAGGCAGGATAGGAAAAGCAAGAGAGGCTGGCAATCTGGAATCAGTGTGGAAATCTGCTACCCTTGGAATTAAGTGCAATATTTGGATTTTCAACATAAATATCACGTGATTCAGTGCTTCTCTGTGGTTTAGAGACATGAAACACATCGCCATAAGCCTTCCCGACAAATTTCACAGAATACATGCTGAGGAGACCGCCGAATGGTATCTCGCACCAGGCTGTTGAGTGCGACCCGAATGGGAAACGAACCAATCATGGGTTCGAGGATGATGTGAAAGAGATCGCATGAGGGGCCAATGGAAGCTTACGGGTAATAAGGCAGCTGACTGAAAGGAGTTGCAGAGAACAGAATGAGGTGATGCTGAATCTCTGTGTTCCCCTCGCAATCCAAGGGAATAATAATAACAGTACAAAAGAAACACATCTTACTCGAATCTTAGAGAAATGGCCAGCTAATTAACAGACTAACACCTCAACTTCTAAAGGCTGAGTCGTTACACAGTAACTAGTTTCACCTTTCATGTTTCAGTATTAACTAGGAACTAAAAATAATTTTATTATTTACTAACTACTGTATAATCCGGTTCCGATTCATAACGCAAACTAGGAACTATCTACCACCACAAGCATTCTACAATCAAAATTACAACTATCAATATGATTGGATAGGAAAGTGAATTAAACTCACTACATAAATAAACAGACATTGGACTGATTACCCTTCACTACTTCATCCGGTGTGCGTCAATGGAACAGCGGTAGAATGCACACGAACACCCCGGGGTTCGATCCCCGGCCGACTCATTCCTTTACCTCGCTAGGCTAGTAATAAGACTGGTAAATAGGGAAGTTTGGTCATGAGGCTAGCAACTCCATCCGTAAAAATAAACACCACTGCTACTGAAACTCTAGAGCTCAGCCTTGAAGCCCTATGTTCCACTGGGACTGTAAAGGAATAAAAGAAAACTTCATCTAGTTGTGTAAAAACTTATTCGCATCATCCATACTGGTAAGATGTTTCAATGTACCGATGAACGAATGGACGCGAGTGTTTGAAAACAAGTCACCTGCCTTTAAGTTTCAAGTATATCTTACAAACAAGTATTACCTAGTATAAAACTTCATGTTCTCCAACTAACAGACAGATCTTCCATGTTTTAGTACCAGCCTGCTTTTGATCTTTTTTTCTTTGTCAGAATTGTGTTTCCAAGAGTGTTAATTCCTTGCAAGAGAATTCTGTTCAAAGTTCTGAGTTAATCTGCTAGGATCCATTAAGTTCTTAGTTTATGAGAGTCACTTAGATTATGTATGACAAATAGCTCGTATTTTTTCTGAGTAACTGTCAGTGAACATACCGAGAATAATCAGCTGACTGACAATTGTTAGCTACTCAAATGTCTATTTTGAACTAAATACTTCCAGTTAGATTTCAGCATTAAGCGTGCCTCCAGTAGGAAGATGTTTCGTAAATATATGCGAGTCAACCATGAATTAGGGTAATCATTTTACAAGTTACTTTGGATTTACATTTCACTGTTATAAATACCAAACATTTATGTGAGTTCAAACACATTCATCAACCTGAAACCAATCTGGAAATCTTCGTCACTCAGCATCAACAACAAAATTCGGATTTTCAATACAAACGTCAAGTCAGTCAGTTCTTCTATACGGACGGATCAGAAACTTGGCCAGTGGGTCACAAAGAATGAGTATTTCCAGCAGCCTGTTGCAGACCTTTATCAACAACTGTCTTCGCTGGCTCTATAGTGAAGATCAGATGGCCGGAAAGAATCATCAACAAGAAACTATGGGAATAAACATAACAAGAACCAGTCGCCCAACAAATATGCAGGAGAAAGTGGAGATGGATTGGACACTCGCTGAGGAGGCCATTCGATGGGTGACACCGCGCGTCAGGCCAACGCTCGAGTGGAACCCGAAAGGGAAGCGGCGAGTGGGACGTCAGTGCAAGGGTGACATGGAGGAGATCGTGTGAAGAGGAGTCGAAACAGTATGGACTAACATGGATGCAAGTGAAAAGTACAGCAGAAGACAGAAGCAAGTGTAGATGTGCAGTTGAAGCCCTATGTTCCTCTAGGAACCCAAGGGAACAATGATAATAATAATGTGAGTTCAAGCCAAATTCCACGATGAATCGAAATGAGTTATAGAATCTGTGAAGACTAAGCCATGCTAGATATCTGTTTCGTCTCACTTTTCAATGTCTTCAGCCGTACGCACTAGTAACCTCATCTGGATTTGGATGTACAACCTTCACGTTACGAAGCCATTGGAACAGAACCACATCAATTCCAGCTCCTCGCACTTCATAGCAAATAGCCACACTACCGAAAAGTTATGACGCGAAGAAGCAATTCACTGCCTCCTAATTTAAAATGGTTCTCTGTTTACTGTGGATACACAATTAAATCTACCTTTAAACCAGTCAAATGCGTACACAAATTAACTACTGAAAATTTATCTAAGGTATTTATTTATCAACTTTGACTTTTTCTCCCAAACCTTCATTTCTCGTCTTCAATAATAAAAATAACAACACGAAATCAACAATCGCTCGTTTATAATAAATTCTTAAGTAAAACAAATTTAAAATGTCGTTAAATTGTTCAATACCCAAAAAATATAAATCAAGTCTACACTTACATTTGATGGGCAATCTTGAAATCATCATATACATTATTTGTACTTGACATTTTATTTTGAAATGTCCTTACTGGTGGATAGGTTGATTTACCACAGTGAGCTAAGCGTAAACTAGCTTCATAAGCAGACTTTGAATCATGAATGTAATTATTCCTGTAAAACAGTATTATGGACAATCAAAACAGTTAGCTAACTTTTATAAGGCTTAAAATTATACAACGATATTACGACTATGCATTCGTGTGGTGAATAATAATGGGGATAAATCATTGTGCACGAAAATGTACAGTGCAGTGCAGTGATAAATTGAGTATAGACAGTGGAGAATGAACGAATGCAAAGAACTACAACACATACTGTTAAAGGACAAACTTATTTTCAAACCAAAGTGATGAACAGTATCCTGAAATGAAAAGTTAGATAAGGGAATGAAATAAAATCTCCATTTCAGCTATTCACATCGACGTGTTAAATAAACCGTTGAAAGTGTATTCATGAAATTGAAATCTTTAGTGCTTTCTTTATTATCCGCTTAGGAGATACCTTATTTTATTTCATGTACGCAGATGAAATCGTCCTGTTAGGCAAAAACACAGTGATAACACATAGTCTCTTGGATAATCTAGGTGACAATTTATGAGTATGGTAGACAAATTTATTATCTTCTAAGTGCGTATTGTTATTTTACATTTCATAGTTATTAACTTTTCGTCGAAATCTGGTGACTGAGTTGAACGAGGGCAGTTTCATATGCCTGAAAGATTGTACCAATCCTAACATCCTAGTAGAAAATGGAATCATGGAACCTGCATCAGACTGCACTACACATGATGTGGGTGAAATATCCACTTAACATGTCCTGTGTGCTACATTATGACTTCGAAATATGGGCGGTGAAGGCAGAAGATACATAAAAACTCCGTAGCGCTACCACAGGAACATCTCAGATGTCAGGCATAAGACCTTCGATTTCTTACACAAGTTCGTCGCAGATTTTACAGAGGATCACCGCTTATTACAACATACCATGACGGCCGAAAGTGATCATTCTGTAGCAGTATAAGGCGAAAGACTTGGTAAGGGTATTTTTATTTGCAATTAGGTATCGCTGTATAGCCAAATTATGTACACCTTATCTTTAAAGCACCATTTGCACAAATCTTCCGTGCAGTGCTACTTCTGGCCTTTATGCTGCTTTTCTCTGTGTCCCTTTCACGTCTCCCATGTATCTGCGCAACGCTGTATTATTTGCTTTCTCTGAAATCAAATCAATCTCCCTGCTATCTGATGTTTTATGCCGATGAATATTTGTTTATATATACATACTACTCATAAATTTTATAAGTAGCACAAGCTACAACACATCAGAACGTTTCAACTTTTGTTTTGAGCCATACAGGTAAAGTAGGATGCATAAATAGGTAAATGTAAAAACCACATTTACCGACAGTTATAGACTTTATTCGCTATGCCTCAGAATCTACTGGACCAACACAAATGTATTCACATTGAAGCATTATCTTAATCATATTGAAAAACCCCCGAAACACGAAAAACACCAGTAATTGTTTCGTCCAAATTCAGGACCCCCCGGAGACACAAACTCAAGCCAAGTGCAAGCAGTAGGGTTCAAAGGTAAACAAATTACCATCTAGGCCCTAGACTAGAATCTTATAGTCTATATATTTACTGAAAAGTTCTTAAATAAGACGAAAAAGTCATCTACCACATTATTGGTATAATAAGGTGAGCAATATTGAAGTTAGGCGTCGAGTGCTAGGTAGAAGGGAAAATCGGCCAATGAACTGTGATGCTACATCGACTGAGATAGTTAGGACATGTGCTACGTATGCCTAGTCATCGCCTTCCTCGACGGGCAATGTTAACTGATATAGGGTCAGGCTGGAAAGGAGATAGCAGAGGTCAAACGAAAACATGGCACCAGTCTATGAAATCCACAACAGTTAGTCTAAGCCAGCCACGTAGGAAGGTGTAGACTTCCGGGTTGGGTCCTCGGAACCGTAGAAACAAATGGTTGGAAACAATTGATAACATGGCTCAAAATCGTTCTCTATGGCTGGTTCAGATGCATCCACTCCTTGTGACTTATGATTTCCAGTGAAACTGTTTTGTTCTTCGTTATTACTATGCCTTTGTCTCACACCTCTGTTTACTGTCTTTATTATGCATTTCTCCCACTTTCTTCTCTTGCTTTGTGTGCTACAAAATGGGAGTGTGGCGACTTGAATTGCCGCACATATTTGTAAAGTTCTATGTCGAAAACAGACAGACAGACAGACTACATCATAGTGACAAAATGTACATAGTGTTAATTTTAACAGTTCTGTCGACCGAATGTGGTAAACTAAAATAGACTGTAGGAATTTTTCCTTGAAATGAAAACACCGAGATTAATTAGAATAAATTTATCCCTCTGCATTCTGTGGAGGCCTAAGTGAATCACTGGGCTATGGGAATTTCAATCCATCAAATAGAACAGCACTGACTCTTATATGATGCATTCTGAACTGATACATTTTACTTGAACACCCTGGACGAAGAGAAAATACTATGCAATAAACTACGTTGAAAATTCTGTATATTACGTAAATATTCTGTGCAGAATAAATCTGTAATTTTTAGTGTTGGAAACACGTAAAAAGTAAAAGTAATTCAAGAATAATTATGAGGATTTTATACTAAACGGTTAGAAACTATGCTTCACTGTCAAAGGTACATTTTTAACTTAATCGCAATGTCTCTGTACAGCGAACCGTTAGAAGTTAGAAGTCATAGATCATTGGGTTCTGATGTGGCGACAGGACGACCAACAAGTTCAACTCACGACCTGAAGGTTCTGTGTTGAATCCATTATAGAGTTATCACTACACCCAGCTGTAGAGCCTCAAAGGAGGATGACTTTCTATAGTTCTCTAAGTGATATCCCGTTGATGATGAAATCTACCTTAAGTTCAATCAAATGCCTAGAAACTAACACTTGGAAATACTTTATGATGATAAAAAGACTAAACTGGTAAATGAGTTTCTTAAGGTTCCAGATTCAAAAGTTCTACATATTTAAGTATTGGTTTGTAGGGATTTGATTGATTCGTTACAAGATTTCATCATGAGCTGACATCATTTAGAGAACTATTGGGAAACCAGATGTGAGTACTGGACAGCTGTTTCTTCCTAGTTTGGGACTCTTCATCAGTACGCACTCACCACAAGGTTTCGAACCCAGGACCTTCTGGCTACAAGGCGAACTCGTAGACCATTAAGCCACTGGGTCCCGATCCAATAGCCCATGAATTCTAACTTCTGCCAATTCACGACAAACCAATACTTGAATATCAATGAGATGCTTACTACCGACTGACCCTTATTCAGGTAGGTAGTTACCTGGGGTTCTAGTGGGAAGTCGTGACCAGTAGGATACAGCAGGTCGGATGTGAGGACAAATACTCGTCAGTAATGACATTCGCTAGTGGTCACGCTATGTCGTGAATTGATAGAAGTTAGAATTCATGGGCTGGCCATCGGATCAAGTCCCAATGGCTTAGTGGTCCACGGGCTCACGCTGCAAGCAGAATTTCCTGTGTTCGAACCATGGTGATGGGTGCGTACTGATTAGGAGTCCCAAACTACGACGAAAAGGCTTTCCAGTACTCCCAGCTGGTTTTTCAATGGTTCTCTAACTGATGTCAGCTCATGATGAAATCTTGTATCTAATTCTACATATTTGTTAAATGTTTGGATGCAGTCAGCAGAAAGCCTTAGACCTAGGTTTTGCGCTTAATGGCAGTCATCAGCAAGGCATATCTGCATCTTGAAGGAACTCGTATCCCTTCTGAGATTCTAACCTGAGTCACCCAATATCACACTACAAACTTACCTGATAGAATTCAGCCTTCACAAAAAGAGGGACTAGATGAGTGGCACTAGTTGCTACCCAGTGTCTAGTGAAAATATCCAACACAGTCCTACGAGAAGTCTATCGCGAAGCTAAATAGCTCAGCGGCAATATCTCTGACTGCAGTACTGGATGACCTGAGTTCGAATCTCAGAAGGGAAATGAGTTCCTTCAAGATTTCAAGTACACCTAGCTGATGAGTGCCAACAAACACGAAACCTAGGTTCAAGGCTTCCTGATGACTGCCTCTAACCATCTAATAACAACAATTCAGAGTGCATCGTGATGGCAAGCCACCTAGTATGGTGGCTACTCTTCAAATTCAACTGATAAAATTCAGTCTGCACCAAACGAAGGACTTGACGCCTGACATTAGTTACCAATGGAAGTTCTACAAATTTTTTCCAACATGTAATACCCACCGTTATTTAGACAGCAAATGAAAGGTTGAATCCTCCATGTCTACAGTTACATTTTCAGCAGAAATAAAACAAACACCGTAATGTTCAGTGTGAAATGAAATTCTCTGAATTACGCCTTGAAAAAAACAAAACAAATGTGACACTTAAAACTTACTGATTCACTTTAATCTCATCACGAACATAATCAAGTGAACTGATAAAGAATTCTTCTATTTCACTTCTTTGTTGTAAAATTTTGCTAGCCAATCCACAAATACGATTCATACGTTTACGTTCTAATTCTAGTGTTTTAGTCAACCTTTCTATTGATTTAGCTGATTCAGAGGTCTGTAAAACAATTTGTCCTTGTAATTCATTCTTTTGTTTCAATACAGTATCATTTAAGTTTTGAATTTGATTTTCACAGAGTTGAATCTTTTTGTCTTTCTAGTCATTTTTTTCCGAAAAAGAAGGATGTACAATAAGATGAAATGGATAAGTAATAAAATAAGATTATTAGACAACAACAAAAAATTGTCTTGGACGAGATGTCTGTCAGAAACATATACATATCTGGAAAGAATTCAAAGGAGTTTCTTCTACTTCCCTGAAGTAAGAATGAGGATTCTTAACGGAGTGTAAACTGTCACTAAAACCCAGAGATTGTGTAGCAGAGACCTACTCATATTCATCACAATTATGCACACTTTGAAACTGTGACGTTTAGTAATTTCCTAAGATTATTAATAGTAGGTACCGGTAACATATTCAAATAAAAATGTGGAACTTCGCGTAAAAATGGAACAGTTCAAGTTGGCATACTTCTGATAAGCACGTATACATGCAGATGAAGGAGATTTAAGGAAAGGAATGTGGGTGAAAATGTACGCAAAAGACAGTGAATAGATAAAAGTTAGTAAAGATTTTCAAAATTCGGATAAAAAGAAAGCGAAAATATATCTTCGTCATTGCTAACAGTGTCGTGCTGTACTGCTAACAGCATTCTCAGGATGCTAGCCTAGCCATCAGTACCAGTCTCTATGCTGTTCAAACTAACAGTGGATGACCTAATATACAGTGCTATGTTTTAGTACGACTATCCCTTACTTTTTCCGGGCTACGCCTATTTTGACTAACATTGCTTGTCCAGGAAGGCGGTGGCTCTGTTTAAGGATAAAGTGTCATCAATTAACTTTCCCTCATTACAAAACAGGCTATGCTTAATCATCACTGACCAGTCAGCTCCCCCTATCACGAGATACTGAGTGGAGGCATGTATGGTGAAAACCACTAATGTTTTCACACCTTTCTTCTCCAGCCACCAGTTACAAGTGCTATTTGATTGCTACCCAGATATCACGACTGCTTCATAGATAATGCAAGTTTGTGGCTACCAAAAAGGCCTTTCGCATTTGCTTTAAGATTTCTCCAGTAATCGATCCACCACGGCTGGAGCACCTTTTCAAGTAAAAGTAGTGGTAACGGGTATCTCGGATGAACGCCAATCGTTTTCTTCATTTCAGACGACAACTCTGTACAAGCTTTAACTTGACTGCACGATTTCAGTTGGACTTCTCTGATTAGTAACGTAAACCCTTGTGGCATTTTCTTCTCAGATAGGCATAGACAGAGTAATTCTGGATAGAGAGAGTAGGTCGTGGAATTTGGCAAATGTCGGATACCGGTGAGCATATCTACGTTCCAGAATCTGTTGAGTGGTAATTTGTTTGATTAGTATACCCTTGTGAGGACTTTTAGTCGGCTGGATTTACTTGGGTCTGTTGATCTCCAGCCCCGCTTAGTCTTCGAATGACAATGGAACCTTATTGACCGCAAATAGTACCTGAGCATCTTCTGGTACCAGATCTTCCTCTTTATCACACACTACTGTATGTGACCGTTAGGAAAACTTTCACTCAACTTACTTCTTATCATCTTCAGCATTTCATTATATTCAGAGCCTGCAGGGATGAGACCGTTGAAATCCACTTGCACTTGCCAACCTTCAGTTGCATGCTATCAGTAGCCTTTAAAACTATTTCTGCAGCAGACTATACATGATGCAAATATTTTTACCGTGCTCAAATATGTGCTCATTTATCGCTTATTTAAATACAGATCTCACGTCCTCATCAAGATAATGAACGCATGAAGGCTTAGCAGATGTTTGTTTTCTGTGCCTGTTCAGGCATATACATTTTCAAGCTAGTACTTTGCTGGATTGCAGGCAAGTAAATGTTTTGGGAGGAGTTTCGATCTTCCACTAACATTTTCCACCATTAGTTAGACATGTGCGTCGTCGGTTCGGCTTTAGAGGTCACCAAATTACACAATTTCTCTTCTTACATGTATGAGACCAGTTCCATTCAGGAAAAAGCAGTTATCGGAACAAAACTGTGGAAGGTAAACACAGCTGTTAGTGTGAGCATGCTAATCGACTAGATTTTTATAATAGCTGAGGTGCACACTATAACCCAACCCAGTTTTACTGTAAATCATCCAGAAAAAATTCAAGAGACATTAAAAGTCTTTGCAAGGCGTGACTTCTAAAAACCATAAACAACCAATTATACTTGGATATGGATGAATAAATCAAAGTTGATTGTAAGCGATACACTTATCACACCCATTATTACACAAGAAATATGTAGTCATCTTTAAGAACAGTTGAAAAGTTAATTTTGAAGTAAATTTCGTAACTTTGTGCTGTAGTAGTTTCTTAGCTCTCCGGCGAACGCTCCTGTAAGGCCAAGCCAAAAACGACGCCTGGGATTCCATTATGACTTTTTTCATGCTATGCGAACTTAGAAAGCAAAGAAACTACATGATATTCAAACTCACTCATTCGGAAGTGTTTTCTTTATCTTATGATATGCAGCCTTTAGTCTTAAATTCTGTTTCATACAGCTGAATGGATATGTTTTAGCTTTTTGTTCATTAAGGAATACGACCATACATATATTGTGCGAACTGCCACCAGTTTGGAGATATACAGGCATTCCTGACACTAAAATGTTTAATGACAACATTTCCGGACGTGTATTAGTGCTTTTAAACTTTCAAAATTTATCTTTACAATCAATGAATAAAAGGAAAATATATTCGGAAATACACAAGTGTCCAGTCTCTTTAGTAACCCTTACCTCGCGAAGGAGTTCATTTAACCTTCTGCACTCTGAAGTTTTCGCTAGAAGCGAGCATTCCAAAGTTTCTTTCTCCAAAGTCAATTTCTTGTTTTCAGTGTTTAAGGATTTTGATAAATCTTCCGCTGATACTAGCTGACTTTTCAAATGTGAAATGAATCTTCTCATAGCTACATTTTGAACAAACGACAGTTTTGCGGAATCATCTAAATTTCTTATCAAAAATTTAGATCCATATGAGGTAAGGACAACTTAATGGAAGTTTTGTGGGCTTCCTCTGCAAGGGCTTTAATTTCTTTAATGCTACTTTCTCTAATTCTGAGCTAAAACTAAGATATTAAAAATCTATAAAATTATTTACCTTCTCTTCGAAGAATTTCAACTCCATCTGTTCAATCAGAGACTTTTGACTCTCAACCATACCCCGTAACTGGAGAAAATTAAGGATTCTAAAACGTTTTCTTCACTACCGTACTTGCTTAATTTCATTCTCGGTACGAATCCTGTCACTTTTGTATTCGCTTAGTTGCTGTATTTCACTTTCAAGTTCCTTAACCCTTTTACACTCCTTTTCCTTTTCAGTATTCATACAAAGGATTTGATCTTTAATGTCATTTAACTGAAAAATTCAACAGAATCAGTCTCTGAACAAAACTATAGATGAAATTACAAGCAGTTCCTTATCCTTTTCATGAGAAGCAATCAAATGTTCGATCTTCTCTCGTAATTCATTAAGCTTAAAGTGGGATTATGTCAAAGACCCAATTACTTCTTTTTCTTTAGCATCATTTTCTTTTTTTAGGTAGGAAAATACTTCCATAGTTTCCTTCTCTGACTGTCGTAGTGTGTCATGTAATTTTGCATTGTCATCGGCTAATTTCTTTGCATGCTCTCTTACCATATTATCACAAAATAATAGCTTACTGAACCTTTTGTTTAACTTTTTCAGCAATTTCAACTCGAGTTTCCCACAACTTTGCATTCACTGCTGCTATTCTCCTAACATCCTCCAGCTTTTTCAACTTATTTTCATCTCTAAATAAGAACATAAACGCGAGAGACGTTCTAACTTGTTCTTTTGACCCTTATTTTTGGGAGCTTTCTTCCGAACCTTTTTCACCATTTCATTTCCGTAACAGAATACGTTACCATGTAATACTTTACTTAGTTATATATTAAAACAAAAGGGTTTCAGTTGTTGAAGGAGGATTTTCAGTCTATCAGAAGCTATTCACATGCTACGCATCAACGTTTTCGGTTATATGGTGTAAGCAGATATTATCTATATACCTGAAATCATACCAGATCCAGTTAGTATCATGCAGGTATAGTATTTAAGAAAAGGTGTTTATTTCGCGATCACTAATGTTACATTGAAATAATGCCTAGAATTGATCATAAATTAATGAATTTGCCCCAAAGGCGCACCAATCAGGAAAGCACATTCAGCAGATGGATTTCAAAATATTCCCTGTCTTCTTTGTCGACGTAACTATATCTGAGACAACCTCATTTATCTTTGTCCTTGTCATTATGGTGTCAAGTCCAGAGGGTTTTGTAGTGTTTCCAATTCATTTTTACCGTGAATATTGATAATTTCTAGGGAAAAATCCCAACGTCTAATGCTATTTTCGACGAACACAAACTGTGAATATCATATTCACACTCACTAGTAAAGTGACAGTGCTATCTCGTAACCCTATCTAACCCCTGCAATATATGTATATGTGTATACATTCTTAGATATCCGGGTTCTATTTAACAGCGTCCACAGATGAAGCTGAAATCGGTTAACTAGTTCCAGGCTTTGGCCACCCTATTCGGGAATCTCAACTCCGCCTGTGTTTTGTCCAGCTACAGTCTGGGATCTATTTTAATTTTTCCCCTCGTAAGTGTCCCGGGACGATAGGAAGGGTTAGAAAGTTCTGTACTTACATCAGCACTTGGAAAAGATAGGAAATAGTAGGTCACTCCTCCCTTTTCTGTATGATAATGAGGACATATTTAGAACTCCTAACCTCACTTCATAAAAAAGGTGCTAGACGCCTTTGACTAACCTTCTATCTTTTCACTGCATCCTTTCTAAAATTCTTTCCTCCTTCCTCGGGCATGGACAATCACACTACATACAGTAATCAAGATGATGCACAGCATGTGTTATGTATCGTACAATAAGTACTTTAAAGCCTTCAGAAACGCCTAAAATATTAGGAAATCTGTAGAAATATGCCTCCTACTCAAAAGGGATGCTAACATGCTAGAAAGTGTCCAGAGACGAGCGACAAAATGGGTGATCGGCCTCCGCAGCAAATCATATGAGGAAAGACTGAAGAAATTAAGTCTTTTCACACTTAGTTACCGTAGTCACAGGGAAGACCTCATCACCGTCTATAAGATCTTAAATGACCAGGCCCACCCTAATAAGAGCATCCTGCCATTAAGTGATTATAGGCTTCCACGAGGTAACCCGCTAAGGATAGCACACCAGAGACCAAGGACTCGAGTGCGTTCACATTTCTTCTCGCTTCGAGTTTGCCGCCTCTGGAACGCTTTACCGGCGGCCGTAACTACAGCTCCATCTGTGGAGACTTTTAAGCGGGAGCTGGACAATCATGCAGAAATGCATGGTTTGTGTCTCAATGGCTTACCCTCTTAAAATTTGAAACCACATTGTCAACGGATAAGCATACAAGCTAAATCCCCACGACCCGTCCTGTCTTCTCCTTACCGCTACTCTTCTTCTTTTTTATTTCACTTATCTCAACCTATATTATCTACACTACAACCTATTATTATTCTACTTTTATGACTATACCGAATGACCAACGGGTGTTAGGTCAAACTCCATTCACGGCAGCAGCTGAGTCCTAACATACTGCACACTACAAACCACAATCTTGACCAATCCTCGCACCACTCCTCTTGGAGTCTACCAGAGCTAAAGCAGTCGAGTGGCGGGATTTACTACGCATAAGTTCACCGAAGATCTGGAACCTCTACCTTACAATCAAGAAGCGAGCTCAAAGAAATCACTGGTTTATACTAGCTCGTAATCAGGATATTGGATATTGGAGATGCATCACAATACATAGTTGTATTTGACGATAATCTGTAAGTTCTTTCCATCTTTAACGTCACACAATTACATATCCCCCTAGGAAGTACATCTGGTAACAGCTGTAGTCAAGGTACACTTCTTCTGGAATTAACTTCCAAGTTCAGCCGCTTCGATCTGTAGGATAGCAACGTGCATTTTTTTGACAGTTTGAGAATTAAACATTAGTCTAGATCCTTAACGAAAAAACAATAAGTGTTGTACAGATCCAAATTATAAAAAATGCTTTTGCTCCAACCATCTACAAGCCTGTTCAGCTTCTTGTCAAGATGCTACCCAATGGACCCTACAGAAATTCGTGAGACATCTTACAGGTCAGCTTGTCCAACGTGTGGTAATCTTCCGGATCTTTGAATTCTCTTCTCACTGAAATATTACTTATCTACTTCACGATAATCTTTTATTTACGCACTATTATACTCTGTTTATCTTAACTACCTAAGTCTTTACTAAAAATAAATCTTACTCTTTGTTCATATTAATTGCTTGCCTAAATTCTGGTTGCTTTGATGAAAAAAACAACACCAATGTTTGAACAAAGATATATTTTCATCGTAAACGTCATAGTTTCCATGCTTAGACCAATATGGTTAGCATTAAGCATTGCAAATGTATACTAACATTCCATGGAGTCTCCAGCTCCTTCTTGTATATATCTTGTTAATGTACTTCCAATGATGTATTATCCATAATTGCATTTTATGCCATTTTGCAGTTTCCTAGGACGTTCTTCTCTTCCTGAAATAGCTTTTAATCAAGTGGCGGCATGGCACTTGCCCAAATATATGCTGTTCACTGGTTGACCATAGCCATCAGCAGAAAACGGAACGAAGTTCGGGTTGTCGCTCAACTTTGATGGTGACCTTAGTGGAGGGTTTACAATTTAACGCTAACAAGAGCCTGTTCTGATTGCTTGTACAATAAACGAACAATCTAAACTTTTGAAAAAGTATTAATCTATGATACTTTACGATTGTAATTTGTAAGATAACTGATCATGCCTGTAAAAATGGCATGCATTTCTTGTAAACACTAGTTTATACGAAATATAAATTATTATTTTTACTAAGCCATTCGTTTAATTTGCCTACTCTATCTCCAAAGGCCGGATAATCATTGTTACTACCTACAGCACTCTGATTCAGGATACCACCCAAAAATGTTTGTGAATAATGGAGCAATATTTTACGTAATCTCTTAGTACTCAGTAGTAACAAGAGTAGGCCTAGAATAACGCTCAGCTGGACCTCATTCAAAACGGGTTTCCACGTGGTGTGCTCCATTTACCCTCACCGTTTGGCATCTACCCAGTAAGTATTCATTTAAACCAATCGTGCAGAATGTTTTCCAAGCCGAACTCATTTGTTCTTTTGAGTAAGACTAATTAAGATGCCGTTATAAATGCTTAGGTCGATGAAACCGAAGATTATTATCCCTATCTCTGTCACTGTTACCTAGCCATTAGCGTACTTGTTAAATAGTACCTTCCTGGCCTGGATGCGTAATATTTTTCACCAATATACCATGTTTCCTGTATGAACTTATATTCGGCTTTCAGTGAATTTTTTCCAACAATTCACGCATGAATCGCGAGTGGATACCAGTTTCCTGTAGCTCCATTTGAAAGCGGGACCTACATGAGCATCCTGACCTGAGATATGGTGCAAAATTGCAAGAGTTGTAACAGTAATATGTTGGCCATGAAGAGCGACGTCCTGGATTAAAGTCCGTTAAATTCAACCAACTTACACATCTTCAACTAAACTAGCAGCTTGAGCATCTTTGCCACGCCCACCATGACGTGGGGCAATTTTCCGTTGAAAGCAACATCGCTAAGCCTCTGTTTATTACTATGAAACGAGGAAGAGCACCATGGTATTATCCGAAGATGTCTTCGGCCTTCAGTTCATCTGATTCAACCACCTCACCACTGTTGTCTGAGAGTAACAGTATATCATTATACATTTCATTTCTACTTTTAACATATACGTATGTATATTTGAGACACTGTGAGTAGTCAGGCACTAACTGTCTGACATAATCCACACGACGTCTGTTAATCACGGACTAATAATAATGATTTGCTTTATTGAAAAACAGTACTTATGATTGTGTGGAATCTTCAGCTTTCTGTACACTATTACGTCTAATTTAGGGAACAGCAACGACAATAGTAACAACACGTTAGAGGTTATACTTAAACAAAATTAATAAGAGCAAATTGTGGAACTAACAGAAGCAGTAGGGTCACGATGTACAGATGTGAAATGATGAAAATAATAATATCAGTATTAATAACACGAGTTTATAAAATAATAGGGACAATGTCACTATAAAATCACAAATATGGGAGAAAAGCTGGGCCATTTTTTATGCTAATTACATAGTAATTCTTGAGTTTCACGTTTAACACCATGATCATAAGACAACGTGGATCAAATAGGGTATAGTAGAGGTTACAAATGTCCCATTACTGTATCCGAAACTCCTCTCTTACCGATTCAGCAGATTGAAACCCTGAGCATTGTTGCTTCCGTAGTAACATTTCCGTTTGTCCAGGGTTTGTGATATTACTTCCTATTTGTGGACTGAGACAAAACAGAGAATGTAACACAGATAGATATATTCCCAAGCTTCCTGAGGCTTCTTCAAGAGCGCCATTTTCCTTAGACCACCTATTATTTAATACTGCTGAATTCCTGAATACCCGTAAACCTTAAGTCCAAAGTGCTTAGATGCAGGACCAGTGAATAACATCGTGAGTCCTAAAATTAAAACCCACGACTGCAGGATACCCATGTGAATCATTGGTATTTCCTTATCCTGTATCTGAATACCGAGTCTAAAAGAAAAGGAATATGCTTAGTGTGTTGGTGCAAGTAAACCCTCCACAAGTGTGAACTGGAGGATGGGATGCGCACGTTCTGCATTAGA